TATGGAAAGTGAATTAGCTCTGTAAATCTTCACCCAAATCACAATAAAAAATAAAGAAATAAAGAAAAAAAAATAAGTTGACCACAGACCACAGGATTTATTTTAGACACTCAATTCTATTCCATTTATATATATGTCTGCTACTATAATATCACCACACTGTCTTGCTTTATAGTAAGTTTGTAATTGGGAAGTATAAGTTCTCCAACTATGTTCCTTTTCAAGAATGTTTGGTTTTCTTTTGAAATTCCATGATTTTTTTGAATCATTTTGTCAATTGCTACAAAGAAGGTTGCTGAAGATCCCAATAAGGATTGTGTTGACTCTCTACATCAATTTGGGGTATATTGCCATCTTAACTATATTAAGTCTTCTGATGCATGAAAATGGGATTTTTCCCATTTAAGTAGATCTTTTTAAATTTCTTTCAACAATGTTTGGTAGGTTTCAGAGTATAAATTTTGCATTTCTTTTGTTAAATATATTCCTAAATATTTTAGTCTTTTTGATGCTATTGTTTCCTCGGTTTCCTTTTGTTTTTTGATCTTGTGTTCTGTCACTTTGTTGAACTTGTTTATTAGTCTGATAGTTTTCAGTGGAGTGCTTAGTATTTTCTATATGTAGGATCATGTCATCTGTGAACAGATATCCAGGTAGTCCCCAGATATGAATGAGTTTCATTCCTAAGTCTATCTTTAAATTGAATTTGTACATAAGTCATAACAGTTACATACAGCTTGTATCTAACGTCAGTCAAATGTTTGTCTTAATATATAGTGAACTTTTACATGCATAAAAACATTAAAGGAACACTTCCAGATACATTAAAACATCTTTAACATACTAATACTGTAATAACAATATTTTGATATACATTACTAAGTAGCAACCTGTTTGTTATTATGAACTGTTGTATGTTGCCAGTTCCACAGGCAGAGAGGACTCCATGGCCCCCGGATGGCCAATAGTGGGGCTGTGCTCGGATTTGCACCAACTTTTGGAGGCAGCAATTGGGATCTTATCACTCTTCCACCCAGACTCTGTCTACCATTGTCTCAGGGAGCCTGGGGCCTAGATTGGCTTCAGGGAAGGGGCTGGGGATGCAGCTGAGCTAAGGCTAGGCCAGGGTCCAAGGTTGCCAGACCATCTGCTACTGCAGACAGTGGTGAAGCAGTGCCTGGCTGAGCAGTCCAGAGTGAAGCCAAAGCCAGGTCCATGCCTACATCCTCCTGCCTGGCCTGGGGCCTTGTCAGGCCTAGACAGAGCCATGCTGCAGTGAAGGCACTGCGCCACTGCTTGCCCTGCACTTGCCACCATCACCTCTCCACTTCAGTTTGAGATGGGCACTGTGGGGTCTGGGCAGCACCCATCAGCTACTGTGGGACAAGGTGGCATGCCACTCGGCCCCATCCTGTGCATGGTCTCTAGGTTTATGCTCAAGGAAAGACAGACAGGGGTTGGTTCATACTACAGGTTGTAAGAAAGTCAGACATTCATAACTGAAGGACAGTCTGTGGTTTTACCTCTCCTTTATAATTCAAATGCCTTTTATTTCATTTACTTGCCTAACTGCTCTATCAAGAACCTCTATTAAAAGGCTGGAAAAAAAAAAAAAAATGGTGAGAGGAGACATCTTTGTCTCATTCCTTATCTTAAAGAAATAGCACTCAGTCTTTCACCATTAAATACCATGATATACAACAACCCAACTCACTGCCATCGAGTTGACCCCGACTCACAGCGACCCCTCCTTGGGTTTCTGAGGAGGTATCACAACAGAAGTAGATTGTCCAACCTTCTTTCTGAGGAGTGGCTGGTGGGTTTGAACCACCAGCCTTCTGGTTAGCACTCAAATGCCTTAGTCATTACATCATCAGAGCTCCCAAATATCATGATAACAGTGGGTTTTTCATAGATGCCCTATATCAGATTCAGGACGTTCTCTTCCATTCCTAGTTTATAGCACGTAATGTTCCTCTTTGTCCCTGATAACTTACCCTGTTTGGAAGTTTGCTCTGTCTGAAATCAATATAGCTACTCCACTCTGATTGGTACTGGCATTGTGTATCTTTTTCCTCCCTTTTAGTTTTAATCAGTCTTTTTCATTTTTAACTCACTCTGCCATTCTGCCTTTTAATTGGAATATCTAGACCATTCACACTTAACGTGATTATTGATAGGTTTATAATATCTACCATATTTGAAATCTATTTTCAAATATTGTTGCTTGTGTTTTTTCTCTTTATCTTCTATTCTTTTTTGCTTCCTTGGTTTTGAGCATTTTATATGATTCAATTTTCTCTCTTCTCTTAGCATTAGTAATTATATTTCTTTTAAA